GTTTTAAATATATTTTATTTTATCGGGTCAAATAAAATATATTATGTGCTCTTACTCATTAAGACATTTATAATGAATATACATTCCTCATATTTAATTTATACGCCTCCGAAATTTAGTTCGGGCTGTTATCTGTTAAATTACCAGTACCGGTAATTTGGGCCTCTTTTGACCAATCGGTCAACTTTGGACCTTTCCACGACCCAAGTAAAATATCCACCACCATATAAATATTATCTTGACCAAGATGAATAAAATATGCGGTCTCGGGAATGTTGGGTGGCCCCCGCTCCCGATGTGGGCCCCACGTGCAATTTACTATTCACGCGAAAGAAAATAACAAAAATTTACAACTTCGTAAATTCATTAATCCTTTAATAAGGTTCAATACATTATTTACATAGAAGTAAATATATTTGGGGACGGTGTTACATATATCTACCAAAACTTGAACGGAGTGATTTTAATCATCCAATCAAAAGTTATGGATAAAATACTGAGAGGTATGCATCCTGAAATCACACCAGCAACATCTGACTTTATTGGTTGATTGAGCCTTGTTCCCTTCATATTCTGGCCATGATTTCTTCATAACATTCGTACCTTATTGAGTTACCATTTACATGAAATTCGAATCGAGTGATTTCGAGTTCTCTACCATAAGTTATACTCAAATTATGGACAGAACGTCATTCTCTTGGTCCAAAAAGCCGTTCATCGCAATATTTTATGCTCTAGCTCTCATTCTGGAGGTATTTGTCTAATTTCTCTTCTTTTCTTCAACACATACTTATAAGTAGTTATGTTTAACACAAGTAAATATAACGGCTATCAGTTGATTAGCCAATGTTTCCCACTACTTCTAATAGTAACAAGTGTTGAATGTTCTAAGGAGGCATAATGTTGGGAAACCAAATAAGCAGCTGTCATGATCATGAGTACACCAAATAACAGACTGGATAAAACTTGAGCCTGAGACTTAAGAGTATGCAGTCTAGAACATATGGACTGCAATGACTTTGGCATCCAAGAACATTTGTATCCCTGAATTTGAAAAACAAAATACATTTCATTATTAGTTGAGCAACACGATAAACACCATTACCTTGGAAATAATACCTCTACAACTAAGTGTGTTATAGGCTCTCCCATCTTACCCAATTTGAAAAACAAAATTCAATCATTATATTATAGTTTAGGTCGTTCACATATTCAGAGTTGAAGTTGTCTTGAATAATAGTATTAAAGTATGGACCTATGGGGTTGTCTAGTAAAGATGTCAAAATCTTAACTTAATGAAAAATGTAAAGTGTGAAATGCTGATATCTTTAAAGAATAATTGAAGTATATCAATATAGTGAGGTCATAGTACCATATTATAGCAGCTTCATTGAATAAAATGTAAAATGCAAACTTCCAAATTTTCTTTGCTTATCTCCCATTACATAAGTTAGCATGCTATATTCAATCTTTGAAAAAGATTTCTACAAAACTAATTGGGGAAAAAAGTGAAACATACTTCGGTATAAGCACCCTACTCCAAGCTTTTGATGTATATGCAGCAGGTATAAAAAGAAGTTGGAATAAGGCATCTGACAACAAATAGCAGCTTCATTGATTCAAGTGTGAAATGCAATCTTACAGATGTTTCTTTGTTAATCTCCCATTACAGAAGTCAACATTGCTCTAGATTATATTTTAAAATATATTTTTGAAAAACTAATTGGAAAAACACTAAGAATGAAAAACTAGTTTGGTAAAAGCACCATACTCCATGAAACTGATGCATATGCAGTAGGTAGAAAACAAAAAATATGTAAGATGTATTTTTTGAGTGTTCTAACTTCTAAGCATCTCATGATTAAAAAATAACTTCTAAGCATCTCAAGGACTAAAATTAAACAAAAAAACTGTAAGATGTAGGTTTTGAAGCCTTGTTTGTTCCTGAGATAACCTGTTATGATCATCGGAGAATTTAGTTCAAGTGTCTTGTCGGTCCTAGTATCCTAGCAGAAGGACACTAACTTTTCTCTCTTGAAATCCTGAGACTATAGTGGTACCAACACGGGTGCTAGGTACTTACACAAATCACTTGATATCAACATGAAAAGCAGGGTCGGTAAATGCTTTACCATTCATAAAGTTCACCAGATTAACCAAAAAACTTCCTCCCGACAGGCTATAAAGCTCCACAACAAACGCTCCACAGATGATGCATCTTCATAAAGGCTACCACTTGCAAATCCCCGAAGTTGAGGTTAATACGTATATGTAAGGTAAACCAAATATTTCAATTACCCTCATATTTGCTTTAAAGAATAAATAAAGAACATGCATGTGATTTGGAAGAATCTGGAAGGTTGGGACATCTCGAAGCGGTCATGGTACCTAGACATCTGATATATCTCGACCATCTGCACCAAGTATATAAGTGTAAAGTCAGCCTCATCTTTTGGGAAACCCAGGAAATAAATAACAGAATGTAAATCTATCATTTACATTACGCTTCAGAGTTCAGATTCATTTACCGAAAAGAAAGTCCAAGAAGAATCTTTACCTTACACTTCAGATTGTTCAAGCCACACTGTGTTCTCATATAAGCAAGACTTGCAGATCTGTGAGCTATTAAATTTCATTCAAGAAAATGATTCTCTTTTATGGTGCCTCTCATAGTTCAAAGAATCAACATCCTGCTACAATAAATAACCCGAAATTCAACCTACAATAATCTATCAAAAGTTTATGAATCTTCAACTGCAGCACACATTTGAGCCTATTTTCTCAACGCAAGGCCAAAAGATGATACCACAGTAGATCCAAGCATCCAATATTTTGTTTAGATTGTGCATTTGAACTGCAACCTATTTTCTATAATTCATTGTTAGGAGAATGATTGGGGTTTTTACCCATAATATATATTTATGTGATTAAGAATTCAAAATGTGAGAGATTGAACAGACACAAATTAGCTTTTACTCAGGTGGAAAATGATTTGTAGCACTCAAACAATTCTTATATCAAATTCGACCGTGCCCAAAACACAACAATGTTTTGATCTTGATAATTCCCTAAGAAATGTTTAGACACATTAACACTTTGACAATATGGTCATAACAAATAGGACTGAGAAATACATTAATTGATCCGTTCACCATACATTAATATGTACAAACATATATGAATAATGATTTTTCTCGTAAAGAATTTGACTAATATAAAGTTGAATACTAATATTAGTGAATTTGACTAATATAAAGCATTTATCTTCTCCTTTGAAACACAAGTCATATTACGGGGACCATAATATATCACATCGAATGTATTTCAGAGTTTTATACTCTCACATTTTCAGCAGGGTCGGCTGACCACCCTGACCCCCTAGCTCCGCTCCTGCCTTCCTCCTTAAGAGTATTTCTTTATGTTCGTATAGGTAAAGAAATGGTCCAGATGGGTCGAAAAGCAACTATATACAAAATGAAAACGATGTATGGTTTTTAGACAATGTCTGAGTTGAATGTTTCATATGTAGTAGTTTAGATAAATAGACACTCGAAGCAATAAGATATATTGTATTTGCTCTGTATCTAAGTCATGTCATGTAAGTAATAAGTTATCTATGAGTAATTTACAGAAAAATAATAATATTACGCATCAAATTTTGTTGCTTTTGCGTGTAGATAATGCTGATTTTGCAGAAGTCATAACTTTTTACTCGTAATGAGTTACGGGGACCATAATATATCACATCGAATGTATTTCAGAGTTTTATACTCTCACATTTTCAGCAGGGTTGGCTGACCACCCTGACCCCCTGGCTCCGCTGCTGCCTTCCTCCTTAAGAGTGTTTCTTTATGTTCGTATAGGTAAAGAAATTCATTCATGTGGAGTATAATACAGTACGTAGAGGGCAGTTCTTATCAGGCCGGCCTGACGGGAACCACCGTAGACTGAGGCCATTTGGGGCTCTTCCCGGTGGAATTTTTTTGAACATTTTCTTCATCAAGTCTAGTTTATCCATACCAAATTTTAACTAAAAATGCAATCGGGAAGGCAGTAAAAAAATCCCTATGAAAACTGTGCTTTATATATATGTATAAACATCACAGTTTTGGTAGGGATTTTTTTGACTGCCTTCCCGATTGAATTTTTAATTAAAATTTGGTATGTATAAACTAGACTTGATGAGAAACATGCTAAAAACATTTCATCAAAAAATTCCACCGATAAAGTCCCCAAAAGCTCTCGTCCGGACGAAGAGTCCTGTGAGGCCAGCCTGACAGGTAGGGGTGGGAAAAAATACCGAAATTTCGGTATACCGGACTTACCATATCGAAACATACCGAATTTACCGAAATGTTTGGTATACCGACGCTTTTGGTACGGTATGATACCGCACCGAATTACTTCGGTATGGTATCGGTATATATTTTGGAAACAAACGGTATACCGGTATACCGTCATACCGTAATTCCAAGTCAATAATTTCCTTAAAATTGTAAAAATAACTATAAACACAACACTAATTCAAGGATAAATGCATTTATATCCATGTTTCTGGAATTATTTATACTTTTTGTTGGAGATCGGTGTTATTTTAGTTATATTTATGTTGTTTAAATTATTTTAGCAGAATGTGTTGTTATCTTCATATATCATGTGTTGAAATATCTATACATATTTATAATATTTTTTGTCAAAAATTGAATAGAACACAAATAGGTTATCTCATTGGTATTTTATAATTAATTTCATTAATGATTTTAGTAGATCACTATTAACACTTGTTGGGATATATTATCCCGGCCTATTACTGTTCAGGAGCCCAAGACATTATCCAGTACGGAGCCCGAGCAGCTAGGCCCATTTCGGCCCATCCGGCCCACTTTGACCACCAGGCCCACTTCGGCCCATGCGGCCCATTAGGGTGGAGAGCCTCCCCTTCCCCTCCCCTATAAATACGGAGCTTAGCCTCCATGTAAAGGATCTCTTTCCTTCTTCCCCAACTCATTTACTTTCTCTAGAATAGCTTGCAAGACTCCATTAATGGGAGCTCAAATTGTATTATGTAATGGTGAGGAGAGTCCTAATGAGAATTGAGAGGGCTTGGACATTAGCCTAAAAAGTCCCGTGGTTTTCTCCCTTTCGGGTTTCCAAGTAAAAACTGAGTTGTTCATACACATTTATACATATATATTTACTATATCGTGTTGGATTAAACTCAACACTGGCGCCGTCTGTGGGAATCGGTCCAAAAAGATTCACGTTGTTCTTCAGCTTCGACAACAAACGTGAGATGAAGAACTGATTTTCAACAAAAAGAAAAAAGAAAATTGATACCCGATGGACTGGTTTCAGCAAAAGGAAGAAGAAGGAAAAAACAAATGGTTCTGGGAAGTCCAAATTCGGATTTTTTCCGGATCTATTTTGTGAAGTCATCGGAGCCGCCCCCGCTGGCATGGAACCCCTGAGGCGTCCTGCGGCACCGGATGGAACTCGCTGCAGCGTTACAGTCTTGGCGTCCCGATCTGTAGAAAAACTCCGCCTGAAACACAGTAGTTCGTCGTCAACAGCGGGGTCTGCCGCCCGAGCTGCCGCGCCGCCGCTCGACATCAGCCGTCAGACGCAGGTTGCTCGTCCACCTTCTCGGAGGAGGTATAGTCCGAGGCTCAGTAGATCTCCTGACGAAACCGCGTCCTCTGGCCGGCCTTGTTCTGCCGCGACCACCGTCTCCACTGGCGGAAGGTGGTCGGCATGTGCGGCCTGCCTCTGAGTTAATAGGAGGGTGTTCCATCTGCCTTTCCTAAGAGATGTACTCCGCATAAAAGTTTTGGTCAAGAGCAGACCACGTCTGCAATTTGAGGCCAGGCAAAGAGGGCCATTTTCCTTGGAATAATTTTACCAAGTCAAGTTGGGGAATTCCATTAAGCCGAGGACCTTGGTTTGAACGTACGTATACTTTGGACTTTGGAGTGGCTGAATAATTGAAGTCTTTGGTGCTGTTCTGTTCGTCTTATTCTTATTACTTATTACTTATTCTTATTTTATTCAGATCAGATCAGATCAGATCAGAAAAATTCAGATCAGATAAGATCAGATCAGAAAAATTCAGATCAGATCAGATCAGATCAGAAAGATTCAGATCAGATCAGATCAGACCAGAAAGATTCAGATCAGATCAGAAAGATTCAGATCAGATCAGACCAGATCAGAAACATTCAGATCAGATCAGAAACATTCAGATCAGATCAGATCAGATCAGAAAAGTTCAAACATGATTTATCACTTTTATTATTATATTAATTATTATTATTATTGTTGTTACTACTATTATGATTATTATTATATAATTATTATTAATAATATTAATAATAATATGATAAAAAAAATAAGATATTAATATAGTTATAATATTTTAATATAATAATAGTAATATAAAGCAATTATTAAGAAGACTATTATTATTATTACAATATTATAATAATAATAATAATATGATTAATATTATTATAATATTATATTATAATTATATGTAATTATAATTATACTTACAATTATAATTCTTATAATTATAAGTATATCAATTGTAATTATTATAATTATATCTATAATTAATTATAATTATAATTGTAATTAATTATAATTATAATAATTATAATTACAATCATAATTATAATTATGATTATAATTTTAATTATAATATAATATTATAATAATATAATACTAATTATAATAATAATAATATTATTATTATGTTATTGTAATAATAATATTAATATAATAATATCGTTATAATAATATTAATTGTATTTATATTACTATTATTATATTATAATATTATAATTAATGTTAATATAATTATAATTATTATTAATTATAAATATACTTATAATTATATTATAGTTATAATTTATGATTATAATTATTATTTTTATTATAATTATTAATATTATTATTATTGTTATTATTGTAATTATTTTACGGAGTAATTATAATAATATTGATAACTATAGTTACAATTATAGAGATAAATATTGTAATTATAATTACAATTATAATTATATAAGTAATTATAATTAAAAATACAATTACAATTATAATTATATCTATATTTATAATTAGTGTAATATGTATAATTTTTTTCATTTTAAATTTAATTTTAATTATTATTATTATTTGTATAGTTACGATTATAATTATAATTTTATTTAAGTTATATTTGTAATTGCAATTATAATAATTATAATTATAATTATAATCATAGAAATATTCAAATCAGATCAGATCAGAAAGATTCAGATCAGATCAGAAGGATTCAGATCAGATCAGAAACATTCAGATCAGATCAGACCAGATCAGAAACATTCAGATCAGATCAGGAAGATTCAGATCAGATCAGATCAGATCAGAAAGATTCAGATCAGATCAGATCAGATCAGAAAGATTCAGATCAGATCAGATCAGATCAGAAAAATTCAGATCAGATCAGATCAGAACTTAAAAAATTCAGATCAGAAACATTCAGATCAGACGAAGAGAACAGCTTCTTTGGCTCTTTAGCAAGGTTGACCAGGTCAAACAAAAAGGAATTCAATCAACTCCATGATTCTCACTTGGCCGAGCATCGTGCCAAAAAAGAGCTAAGTACCACTTACTCATCCTTTTACCAATTAAAGTGCGTGATTGTTTGTAGAGCATGCTTCATACTTATTAACGAAGTAGAAATATTGCTAGTATTTTTATCACCATTATTTATTAGGGAATAAGATCTCCCAAAATTAAATAATGTCGGGTGATGCTTTTGTGATAATTATTTTTCACCGTCATTTAAATTTAATGACTGGTTGTTGTGGGCCCGCCGGCCCGCTCCTGATCGACTTTTATTAGCGAACGGAGCATACCTGATTGACCTTTGATAGGAAAATATCACTGCTATTACCTGTTACACCACTATTATTTATTGAGGGGTAAAAATGTCCCGAATTAAAGAATGTGGAGCGAAGCCCTAGTGATGGTTGGTTCAGCCAACATTTTGTTGAATATTTAATTTCTTGTGGGCCTATCGGCCCACTCTTGATCAGCTTGATTAAGTGATCCGAGCGTCTCCAGAAGGGCGGTGCCCCGACGACGCATTTTAATTTGAGGGTTACGCAATAGTCCGCACGGCACTACGTGCCCGATCGACGATCATACCCCATTATCATTTACGCCATTAAGCGAAATGACTATTGCCAAACGTGGCATGTGGGGCCCGAAGGCACCAAAGCACCCAACCTCCTTTTTCTGAGGACAGTGCGACCAACTTGGGTCTGAGTTTGAAAACTCACGGACCGATGAATATCTCTATGTGACGTTCGGCGGGCTGCCAGTTGGCCCCGCCGCGAGCTGCTACATCCATTAGTCCCGCACGATGAGCCGGGCCGAGGGTCGCGATGACCCATAGGCCGGTATTCGTGGATGTTAAAGAGGAAGCCATGCAGATGGTTATGTGTGCATATTTATTGTTGGGCCATGTGGCCGTTACCATGCTTATTGCGCAGCTGAAATCACTCAACGCGCTCGAGTGAAATGATTAAAAGACGCTCGGCCCGAGTCTTGAAGACGTTCAGGGCCAGCTAAAGAGGAGACCACCACGGCGGAGGACCGTGAGACGAGCATCTCCACCCCAGAGACCGATGGCCTAGGAGAGAACACCTAGAGGCCGAGGGCCTAGAGGAGACCACGGCGGAGGACCGTGAGACGATCATCCATCATTCAGAGGCCGAGGGCCTAGAGGAGACCATCACGGCCAAGGGCCGTGAGACCATCCTGATTTTCAGGTCGGCCTCTCATCGCCGACATTATCATACCACGACCGGCCCCTCGGCTCGGCGTGTTCATCTTTTGAAGACCGGCCTCGTCCCCGCGCTGCGCGGATGAGGACCGTTGCTTGGTTCTTTCATGTCGGCCTCTCATTGCCGACACCGTCGTACCACGACCGGCCTCTCGGCTTGGCGTGCCTATCTTTTGAAGACCGGCCTCGTCCCCGCACTGCGCCGATGAGAGCCGTTGCTGGATTGCAGGTCGACCCTCATTGCCGACACTGCCTCATCATGTTCGGCCTCTCATCGCCGACATCATTATATCACAACCGGCCTCTCGGACCGGCGTGATTACCATATTCGAAGACCGGCCTCGTCCCCGCCACCTCGCGGACAAGGACCGTTGCTTGACCATATCTTGGTCGGCATCTCATTGCCGACATTATCATACCACGACCGGCCCCTCGGCTCGGCGTGTTCATATTTGAAGACCGGCCTCGTCCCCGCACTGCGCGGATGAGGACCGTTGCTTGTTTTCTCAGATCGGCCTCTCATTGCCGATATCGTCATATCACGACCGGCCTCTCGGCATGGCGTGATTATCATATTTGAAGACCGGCCTCGTCCCCGCCCTCGCGGACGAGAACCGTGCCTGTTTTTCTCAGATCGGCCGCTCATTGCCGACACCATTATACCACGACCGGCCTCTCGGCTCGGCGTGCTTATCTTTTGAAGACCGGCCTCGTCCCCGCCCTCGCGGACGAGGGCCGTTGCTTGATTTTCTCAGATCGGCCGCTCATTGCCGACACCATTATACCACGACCGGCCTCTCGGCTCAGCGTGCTTATCTCTTGAAGACCGGCCTCGTCCCCGCCACCCCGCGGACGAGGACCGTTGTTTGATTCTTTCGGGTCGGCCTCTCACTGCCGACACCATCATGTTATGTTCGGCCTCTCGGCACGACATATTTATCTTTTGAAGACCGGTTTCATCCCCGCGCTGCGTTGGATGAGAGCCGTTGCTCGGATATATCGGCCTGACTGGACACTATTGCCATCTCCGTTATCAGGACCGACTGCTCAGCAATATTATGATCATTGTATATCGGCTCCCAATGCCGACCTTCTTGAGTAAGCGATCGGGCTCACCCCTCCCCTCCAGGAGGGTGACCATCGCCTTCGCATGACGACCATCTATTCCGTCGCCTCGTCATTTTATTCGTTTTGGTATGCCACCACCATTATGTGTGACATCCCGTGATCCCTGCGAGTTTCTTGGATACCGAATGTCTTCTTCGATGTAGGAAGATCGGTAGAACCACGGACCAGGGACGGACGAACGAAGCACCAGGGAATCTCGATGCAGATAAACCTGTTCCTCCTTGCGATGTCTGCGGATACCGAATGTCTTCTTCGATGTAGGAAGATCGGTAGGACCACGGACCAGGGACGGACGAACGAAGCACCAGGGAATCTCGATGCAGATAAACCTGTTCCTCCTTGCGATGTCTGCGGATACCGAACGTCTCCTCGAAGTAAGGACGCCGGTAGGACCAAGGACCAGGGACGAACGAAGCACCAGGGAATCTCGATGCAGATAAACCTGTTCCTCATTGAGATGTCCGCGGATACCGAACGTCTCCTCGAAGTAGGAACGCCGGTAGGACCAAGGACCAATGACGAACGAAGAGTATAGATTGCCTCCCTCAAAAAAAAAAAAAAAAAAAAAAGATGGGGAGAAGAGGAGGGTAGCTCCTATGTGGAAGGGAATCTTGCCCGGGTGTGCCAGATCTTCTCCCACCGCCGAAGACGAACGCCTCTCGATGTAGAGGTTAGTAGAGACGCGGAGGGGGCTAGACGAACCAAGGGAGCCTTGCCAAGATAAACCTGTTCATCCCACAATGACCATGGATCGATGGACGTGGGATAACAAAGACGGGAACCCGTGAGGGTAAACCAGTTCGTCCCTGCGAGTTCCTTGGGTACCGAACGTCTTCTTCGATGCAAGAGACGCCGGTAAGACTAAAAGGACCAGGGACGAACGAAAAAGGGGGAATCTCGATGTAGATATACCTGTTCCTCATTGCGATGTCCGCGGATACCGAACGTATCTTCGATGTAAGAACGCCGGTAGGACCAAGGACCAATGACGAACGAAGACTAAAAGACTCCAAAAAAAAAAAAAAAAAAAAAGATGCCAGAAGAGCACGGAGCAAAGAATGATTTTATCCCTTGGCACTATTGGTTGTGAAGTACAAACTGAAAAACATATGTAAAGAATAATTACAAGACTTAAGTACGAAGAATGAAGTGGCCGACGACGATCGGCTAACATCAGGTTTTCTTTTGCCTCGAACGACTATTAGCTCCCCAGATCAGGTAGAAGGGACATCGCCCAGATTTATTTCAGGCTCACCATTCCTTCCCGGATGGAGCCCTCGCAGACGATCGACTTCTCACAGCCAATCAGGAGAGAGACTTGACACATCACCAGCACGGCCGAGGGCCGTGAGACGATTACCACTCACCGACAGGCCGAGGGCCATGAGATGATCATCACTATTTTTCCGTATCACGATCGGCCCCTCAGCGCCATCGTGTCCAGACTCACGGTTCGTCTTGCCCATTCCCTCCAGGATGGCGACGACCGTCTTATGCAGTGCGATCGGCCCCTCAGCGCCATCGTACCTGGCTTCACGATTCGGATCGCCCCATTCCCTCCAGGATGGCGACGACCGTCTTATGTAGCACGATCGGCTTCTCAGCGCCATCGTGTCTCTTTCACGTTCGGATCGCGCATCTCTTCCAGGATGGCGACGAACGTCTTATGCGGTACGATCGGCCCCTCAGCGCCATCGTACCTAGATTCACGGTTCGGCTCGCCCATTCCCTCCAGGATGGCGACGACCGTCTTATGCAGCACGATCGGCTTCTCAGCGCCATCGTGTCTCGTTCACGTTCGGATCGCCCCATTCCCTTCCAGGATGGCGACGAACGTCTTATGCAGTGCGATCGGCCCCTCAGCGCCATCGTACTTGGCTTCACGGTTCGGCTCGCCCATTCCCTCCAGGATGGCGACGACCGTCTTATGCAGCACGATCGGCTTCTCAGCGCCATCGTGTCTCTTTCACGTTCGGATCGCGCATCTCTTCCAGGATGGCGACAAACGTCTTATGCGGTACGATCGGCCCCTCAGCGCCATCGTACCTAGATTCACGGTTCGGCTCGCCCATTCCCTCCAGGGTGGCGACGACCGTCTTATGCAGCACGATCGGCTTCTCAGCGCCATCGTGTCTCTTTCATGTTCGGATCGCGCATCTCTTCCAGGATGGCGACAAACGTCTTATGCGGTACGATCGGCCCCTCAGCGCCATCGTACCTAGATTCACGGTTCGGCTCGCCCATTCCCTCCAGGGTGGCGACGACCGTCTTATGCAGCACGATCGGCTTCTCAGTGCCATCGTGTCTCGTTCACGTTCGGATCGCCCCATTCCCTTCCAGGATGGCGACGAACGTCTTATGCAGTGCGATCGGCCCCTCAGCGCCATCGTACTTGGCCTCACGGTTCGGCTCGCCCATTCCCTCCAGGATGGCGACGACCGTCTTATGCAGCACGATCAGTGCCCCAGCGCCATCGTGTCTGGCTCACGTTAGGATCGCCCATCCCTTTCAGGATGGCGACAAACGTCTCTTATGCAGCACGATCAGTGCCCCAGCGCCATCGTGTCTGGCTCACGTTAGGGTCGCCCATCCCTTTCAGGATGGCGACGAACGTCTCTTATGCAGCACGATCAGCGCCCCAGCGCCATCGTGTCTGGCTCACGTTAGGGTCGCCCATCCCTTTCAGGATGGCGACGAACGTCTCTTATGCAGCACGATCAGCGCCCCAGCGCCATCGTGTCTGGCTCACGTTAGGGTCGCCCATCCCTTCCAGGATGGCGACGAACGTCTCTTATGCAGCACGTCTGCCTCTCGGCGCTGACATGCCCGGTTTATCGATGAGAGCCACCACTTTCTATCACATCTCACATTCCTTCTCTCATACATTGCACCCATACATTACATGCATTCATGCATTCATGCATCATACCTCATACATTCATACATACACACGTGCATCGTGTTTTGACAGTACCGCGACGTCGGTTTATAGATACATGGACCTCTAAGCTTCTCCGATTGGAAAGCTCGAGTCAGAGTCCTTTACTCCCGCCTGATGCATTCAGGGGGAGTGTGCCCGTGGAGGAGCACCCTTCGCCCGACCCCGTCGGGAAGGGGGGTGCCTCACCGGCAGATTACGTTCAGGAGTGCAGACACCCACTCGTATATTATGATTATTCGAAGACGCAGTTTCCAGCAAGACAGAGGAAGAGCGCAGGCAAGAGTATACTTTCTCGAGCAGATTCGCACGCTCACTACTCAAGAAACTGGGGGACTTGTGTTGGGATATATTATCCCGGCCTATTACTGTTCAGGAGCCCAAGACATTATCCAGTACGGAGCCCGAGCAGCTAGGCCCATTTCGGCCCATCCGGCCCACTTTGACCACCAGGCCCACTTCGGCCCATGCGGCCCATTAGGGTGGAGAGCCTCCCCTTCCCCTCCCCTATAAATACGGAGCTTAGCCTCCATGTAAAGGATCTCTTTCCTTCTTCCCCAACTCATTTACTTTCTCTAGAATAGCTTGCAAGACTCCATTAATGGGAGCTCAAATTGTATTATGTAATGGTGAGGAGAGTCCTAATGAGAATTGAGAGGGCTTGGACATTAGCCTAAAAAGTCCCGTGGTTTTCTCCCTTTCGGGTTTCCACGTAAAAACTGAGTTGTTCATACACATTTATACATATATATTTACTATATCGTGTTGGATTAAACTCAACAACACTGATTTTCTTTATTTCATTTGACATATAATAATTTGTTATATTAAATGATGGTAATTTACCGATACCGTACCTTACCGTACCGAAATTTTGGTATACCGAAACAAGGTATACCGAAATTTCGGTATGGTAGCGTTATGTATTTTTGCATACCGAAAGATTACGGTATGATAAAGATATGCGATAAAATATTCGATATACCGTACCGAACCACCCCTACTGATAGGGTAGCCACTCTAATACATTATACCACTAGAGTGGGCTCAGCGCAAGTGTGCACGGAGTGGAGTATATGAGAGAATTTTCGCGGAAGTTTCCTCGGACAATAACTTTCCGCCAAAGGCACACCGATGACGGTGACACTACGTACGTAATTTTGAGCATTGATTTTGGGCACTTTTACATCCACGCTGGAAATGAACAAACAAAATGCGTTTGCAAAGCGTGTGAAATTCGTGTGTAAACTCCATCATCTCTTAGCTAGACTGGCGCCGATCGATAGATAGACTACACCTTCATATCAACTTATTCCACCAACCCTAACCATTACTTTATTTCTTTCCAATAAAAAAAGTTTTCAGCTTCGCCGCACTTGTACCGCTACCTTAAATCCTCGAGTGAAAATTTGCGGGGAATAGCTCGGCTTCTTCTCTACATTACTAGTAGCTACTCGTCATGCATTTTTTTACATAAATAATCCCTCTGATGTTACTGAAATCGGATGAATCCAACTTACCAAAGAAATTGCTCGTGAGTAAAATAAGTGATGTTCGGAATGTGTTTCCCCATAAATATACGAGTAGATATTATCCGAAATAGGACTAAAAATGTTTGAAAATTCCAAAATAGGACTGTCATGTTTTTATTACCAAAATAGGACTTATTATTGTCATGTTTTGGCAGTCCCAGACTTCAAACATGACAATATTTTCCAAACTTGACAGTAATTACTCCTATTTTGGGAATAAAAAAAATGACAGTCCTATTTTGGAATTTTCAAACTGTTTTAGTCCTATTTCGGGAACTTTTCCATATGAGTAATGACATAGCTTCATTGATAGTCAACATGTGATGTTACTTGGTGATATTGTTGATTGTCACGCACATATTCATAGCTGCTTTGATTGTAATGCATCTAACTTTATACTCCGTAAAATTTATCTTACTCTTATTTAGAAAAGAGATATTACCCGAAATAAGACTAAAAAAGTTTGTAAATTTCAAAATAGGACTTCCATGTTTTTATTTCCAAAATAGGACTAATTACTGCCATGTTTTGGCAGTACCAGACTTCAAACATGGCAGTATTTTCCAAATTTGGCAGTAATTAGTCCTATTTTGGGAATAAAAAAATGATTGTCCTATTGTGGAATTTTCCAATTCTTTTAGTCCTATTTTGGGAACATTCCCGAAAAGAAAAATACATTCTTTCTTTTTCTATTTTTGGAAAGTTTCTGATCTAATAGACTAATACGGATTCGGTGGAACGATCTATTTATCATGTAAAAGGTTACATGAAAAAGACTTGATCCCAAAATTGTGATCCGATTGTGTCGGTTAACTCTTGATGAGTATAGATAGATATAGCCCAGCTGGCCAGGGGTAAAATTTGTTGCCCGGCCTCTAAAACCGGATAAGTCAAAACTGGTTTCCTTTAGACTTTGAACTTATTTATATGGACCATGGAGTACAATATACTCCATTGAATTTGTAGGGCATCCAAAATGTTACTACCTCCGCCCGTTATAAGGTTCTCATAGCAAAATAATACAGTTATTTAAACAATATTTAAATAAAGTATTTTGCGTATATTTTGAGAAATAATTTTAATAGATATACGAAGTATATTATATTATTATAATTTAAGGAGTAGTTAATATTGACAACTGTGATGTTATAAATGTATTAATTTTAATATTTAATGATTAATTTGTCACTTAAGATTGTTAATTGTTTCCTAAAATGGAAATGAAAACCTTTATATGGGATGTCCAAAAAAAGAAAACGGGAACCTTCTAATGGGACGGAGTATATGATTATACTGACATATTTTACTATCAGAATTATACGTACATTAATACAAGATTTGAAAGTCTAACCCCAAAAGAAAATTTTCACGATGCCTCCCGAACACTAACCACCCTTATCCGATCCCCCCATCTTTTATTAGAAAAAGATATTTTTAGTAAAACAATCACTTCTTTTGGTAAGAAATAATTTTTTAGAATTTTTTTTTATAAAAATACATTTTTTTTATGATCTTAATATTAAAAATAAAACATATTCACTACTTAGGTAAACTTATTGAGCAATTACACTCATTGTTTTCATTGAAATCAATATTTTATTTCTTATTATCCGTACTAGAAAAGTTACATTTTGACCTGTCTGTAGTTACATTTTTTATCTGCATGAGTTACATTTCTTTCCAAGCGAGTTACATCATACTGCTTCTGGACAATGAAAAAAAAGTTACTGTTCACGAGCGCGTGAACAGTAACACGCGAATTTTTCAGGTGGGCGCAGCATGCTCACCATGGGCTGCTCCCACGGTATATCAACTGAAGTTACACCAGTTGTTATACCATGGGAGCAACCCACGGTGAGCATGGTGCTCTCAAAGGTAAATTCGCGTGTTACTGTTCACGCGCATGAACAGTAACTTTTTTCCCCTTGTTCCATCAGCAGAGTGATGTAACTCACGTGTAAAAAAAATGTAACTCACGTTATTGATTTATGTAATTCAAGTTCAGTCGAAATGTAACTTGTCAAATACATAGTTTAAGAAATAAAATATGGATTTCAATGTAAATAATGAAAAAGGAATCTTATTTTGCCCAATTATTTTTCAAAAAAGTGTATATGTTTTGTTTCTAATATATCAAGGCTATAAAAATGATTTTTTATAAAATTAATTTTTATTTGAGTTGCAGAGGCTTACTGAGTTGTGTAACTCGCAATATATTGTGGTGTAACTCGCATTATGAAAAATGTAAATCACATGTAAACAGGATGTAACTTGCTGGAGAAAGTTGACATGTAACTCACTCTAATAGATATGTAACTTGAGATAAATTGAAATGTAAATCATTTTAATAAAAAATTAACTTTTGATATAAAAGATGTAAATACAAAAGAATTTACATGGATGACTACCCCTCTTGAAACCCAATCCCAATTACAATCTCAGTTTTGATTTTCTATGAGAATTTCGAGATCTTCAGAACTATTTCATGCTTGCTTATCTCTTTAGCCATCTCTGTATACATCGAACAAAAATAAGTGCTCTGTGTGTGGCAATCCAAAGGTATGTGAAAGAAGGTCATGGGATTTTCCTTGAAAGTGGTCGTGGCCTATCAGTCTTACCCTGATTGCTCCATTTGAAATTTAGGTTTTCAATTCACATACTCTTCAGCCTTTGCCAATCGATTTCTCTGGTATCCTGCCGATTTCTTCAGTTCGATTTAATCAATTCATCTTCTTCATCGTTGTTTTTATTATTTTGTTATGTTTAGTGAGAAAGAACAAGGTGTTGCTCTGTTTTTAAGTGCAAAACGATACCGTATGGGATCGGCACACCATGCGCATCATGGGCCGATCCCACACCCCACGGTATAATTTGCGAAGTTACACTATTACAGTTACTATGTGTGCCAAAATAGTGACGTGATTATAAATTATACTCCGTACATTCCATGACAAATTGTTGCGATAAATTTTCCGTGACAAATGCTGTGCTAATTAATGGAATAAACATGGCTTTTATTTTTTAAATAAAATGCGAATTATATGCTTCATAAATCCCGTAATATATATCTTAATTATGATTAACTGCAGAGCAGGATTACAGTCCCAACAATAAAATCAGGGGTAGAGCCACCCTTTAAGGTGCATGGTCAATTGATACCACTTGATTTTTTCGCCCATACATAGGTATAATTTTTTTTAAAAAAAAATAAATTGACACCGTTGAAAAACAAAAAATCTATGTATGCACATAGATAATCTGTCATAAATTATAAATTAATCGGTCCATAATATTGTTTTTGCTAAATTAAACATTAGATCCTGGATAAAAATAGTGAGAAACATGCCCTTCTTCCATTATTATCCCATGCATAACACGTTAAAATAGAAAGACCTTGCTTAGTTACTTTCAATTTGGACCGAGAGACTCAGAGTATTGATTGTGCAGTTACAAAACCGATGATATGAAGGGCTTGTAAAAGCACGAACATATCTGTTCAACAGAAGTGCATTCAAGAATTATCGCCATAAACAATTGCAACTAACTCATCTCAATAAAAAATGTTGACATTTAACCTAATAAGGAGTAAATGCTAAAAATCCAAAATCCTTCCTCGTTCTTTCAAATTTTCAAGTACGTATACACATGCATGAGAAAATAAGTCAAATATTACCGACTATTGTTGGATATTGTTTTATACGGATTATTTCTTTGTCACTTTAGAGCTAATATATGTAAGGACCCACTTTTCAATTTTAATGGGAATAACTCGTAAGTCGTAACTTTTGTGTTCCATGAGGTGAACGTTTCTATAAATTTTCTACATCATTTAAGCAATATCAACTATATACACCGGCGGAACCAGAGGGGGCGAGCCGGTGCCGGCGCTCCCCCTTCGCCTGAGTAGTCTAGGTATATATATATGTATAATTTTCCAGCGCCCCTGCTGACCTGCTGTGATTTCATTACCAGCACCCTGCCAATCTGCCATGGCTTCCTCCGTCGGCCTACTGCGCCCCTGCTGACCTGCTGGTTTTTTTAGAAAGCGTTTAATTGACGCATAAGTCTTAAACGACACCGTTGCTTTAAGTTCAAAAAAGAGGTAAAACGGAAGCAAGTATACTATAAACGACATCTCATTAACCCTATTATCCAATTATTAAAAAAACTGCCTAAATATAAGAAAGGGAAAAGGGGCAAATAAGCCCTCGAACTAATCAAAAAAGTGCAAATAAGTCCTTTTGTAGGAGGTTTCGTCCGATCATCGTCATTTGGGGAGGTTCTCGGTGGAATTTTTTGATGAATTTTTTTAGCATCTTCTTCATTAAGTCTAGTTTAGCCATACCGAATTTCAGCTAAAAATTCAACCGAGAAGGCACTCAAATGATTTTCGGAAATATACTGCGTTGTTTAACTGCGCAGTTATCTTCAAAAATTCATTTGACTGTCTTCCCGGTTGAATTTTTAGCTGAAATTCAGTAGGACTAAACTAGACTTAATGAATAAGATGCTCAAAAAATTTCATCAAAAAATTCCACCATAAACCTCCCCAAATGACGATGACCGGACGGAACCTTCTACAAAAGGACTTATTTGCACTTTTTTGATTAGTTCGAGGGCTTATTTGCCCCTTTTCCCTATAAGAAATTACAATTAGATTTCAATAGCATCCTTACAGACCTTACTCGTTTACCTTAGGGTTATTCACCCACGTTCAATTCGCAAATTAGTTTAGTCAAACAGCCGATTCGCTCTGCCCAGAAAGTGAAGAGTGAAATTTTGGGGCGGCCGCCGGTGCTGTGGACTGTGGTGGACTGGTGGACACCTGGAACGACTGAGCGGCAAAGCTTGAACCTTGAATCGCTTAATCGCTGCTGACCTGCTGTTGCCTGCGCGTTTGAAACTTCATTCTGAAAAGCAGAGGTAAATTATCTGTTGTCCTTTTATTTGTGTAATTTGTGGCATTTTTTTAATTTTTTTGTTGAAGTGGGCAAGTGGTGAATTACTGAATTGGGTCAACCGGTCACTTTATTTTATTACTTAGATTGGGATTTTGGGATGCCATAGCTAGCCAGTAGTTGGCTATTGCAGCTAGTGTGGTGTGTCTTATATTAATTTTATTAATATTATTATTATTATATGTGTAATGTGTTCTTATTTCCTTAACTAAATTGTCTTATTAATTTAACACTAAATGTAGTGATTACATACAAATCAAGGCTAATTAATAAGTAGTATATGAATTTATTGTTGTACAATTTGTTAGGTTAAGAATGTTGAAAATGAAGTAATTTTGCAACGCTTTCAACAGATGCGAACTCGCAAGACGCGGTTATGTCCCCTAATTTCCTAGAGTAGTTAGTTTTGGACTTATATGTAAACATTAAGCTTTACGACACTTAATTTAGACAATCATTTGCGTTTTTTTTTTCCTAAATTTATTACAACGTATTTATTCATACATTTCTCGGCACCTGCTCAAAAAAAGTTCTGGTTCCGCCACTGACTATATATACAAATATATATCAAAAAGTATACATTGTTTCATATATATGCACACATACATATAATACGGAGTAGAGTTTAACGTTTATGTACTTGCAAACCACGTATTTCAACTAATTAGTTGGAATTAGCATTAAAATATCGTTATTATAATAAACTTTGAATGTAAGATCTTGTTTAATTTCAAAAACATCAATACCCATACTCCGAAAATTAAAGTCTACAGTCCATTACTTCGATCTTCCTGCAGCTAGATCAACGTCTTCACCCAATTTGGATCAGAGCACTTTTTGAACATATGGTGCAAATTTAAGTAGCACGGAAACGCGAAACGGGAAACGGGAAACGTGACAAACGCAATTTCTAAAAAATATAGGATACGAAACGTGGGGGAAACACGTAAATATTATAAAATATAAGGATATATTTATAAATATATTTTTAATATATGTACACAAGTTTTTCCATACGCACATGTTTTTTCATATAATTTGATTAGTAACCAAATAATAAAGGGAAAATTCTCGAAATAGGACTAAAACACTTTCAAAATTCCAAAATAGGATTGTCATGTTTTTATTTCCAAAATAGGAGCAAATATTGCCATGATTGGAAAATACTGCCATGTTTGAAGTCTGGTACTGCCAAAACATGGCAGTAATTAGTCCTATTTTGGGAATAAAAACATGGCAGTCCTATTTTGGAATTTTCAAACTTTTTTAGTCCTATTTCGGGTAATATCCCAATAATAAAATCACTCTACATGTTCGAATTCAGATATTATTTCATATTAGTACATAATTAAACTTAAAATGTACGGAGTAATACCTTTCTAGCAATACATTGCGTTATGAAATGTAACAAGTGTTGCTGCTGAGAAATACCACAAAAAATTCACTATTAAAAAAAATTATTATCCACCACAAGATCTTTAGAAAAGAAAAAAGAATTGGAACCCGAGGTTTCCGAAACGTAGTGAAACGGGTTTCCAATTTTTTCTTAATTACAGAAACGGCCCCGAAACAGGAATTTGAAGTTTCTAAGTTTTCGAAACGCTTCCGAGTTTCCGAAACGTGGAAACGTGACCTGCGAAGAGTTTCTGTGCTACTTAGGTGCAAATTTTATTCATTTAGAAAGTGGAGCTATATGCAATAATGCAAACCCAAATATAAGTATAAAAACTTTACAAAAAAAATATAAGTATAAAAAGAGTTACAAAGTCTCATCCCACTTTAATTATCAAGGTATGTGCGTATCTAGTGTATGCATGTGTGTTCGATTCTTTAATTACGGTCTTGCTGACCTTTTAGCGAGTCTGGTCGCAGGGACGACGAGGCCATGCTATTGGTCGGGGCCAGGGGCGTAGCCAGGACGGATGTCTACCCTGGGCCGACTTTACACTAAAAATATTATGTAAAAATTTTAAAAGCGATATTAGTGTAAACATAATGATTAAAACCCATTAAAATTCATAGTAATATTTTTAAACAATACATACAATGTTTGAAACTAAAATGTTAACTGAACACGACGTTCTTTGACCTTAGCAAACTCATCTATGACAGACTCGACGTCGATTTTGTTGGAAAATTCCTTTTCAATAAAGATGGTCAAGCGATCGGCAAGAAATTCATCTTTCATCTTGTTACGAATTTCATTCTTCACGAGTTTCATTGCAGAAAATGATCTTTCTGTTGTTGCAGTCGAAACAGGTAAAATCAATACAAGATGAATTAATCTTGTAATCATTTTGAAGTGTTCCGCCTTTCCAGATTTGAGCAACTCTTCACTTAATTGCGCAAGAGAATGAACTTGAAACTGGGAATTTTGAACTATGTGAGGTTCAAAAAATTGCAACTCACTCTTCAAAGCATGCCTCTCATGAGCCTGAAAATCATTGGGATAAAAATCCAAAGCAAGCTTGTAGATATCATCAGCATTATATGATTCAAAAGAATTTTTTGGATCCAAACCCACACTAAGTCGGAGCAATTGAACTGATGATTCGTTGAATCTACACTCCAACTCTGTCAATATGCCTTATGTGTTGTTGGAGAGTATTCCAACCAATTAAATTCATTGAACCAAGTGGCTTGAAAACGACGTACCCTATCTTTGTAAACTCGACCTTTGTAAAAGTTCAATTTCGGTTGATAAGGTCCAAGCATCAAATAAGATCGTCTAATTTCATCTCTTTTCTCAAAAGGCCAATCACTTATCTTTTTGCGTTTTCCTGGATCCCGCTCAATTTCAGGTGTATCTGAAACTACTTCCTCATGAGTGGATGAGATATTAGGAGTTTCAATTGGGACATTTAACTCTTGTCTACTTTGTGTGCTTGTACTAGGCTTATAAAACGAACGCAATGTGATTTTCGCCTTTTTGAAAGTAGATTGAGTAGCCATACCTACTATAATTACCAAAAAATAAATAAATAACTAATCAATACTTTATTTTAATTCATATTAATATCTTAAAATTTTCACAAATCACATTTGACATTCCTAATTTTGTATTTCACAAATCACAATTCAAAGCACACAATTACACAAATCAATTGTAACACAACAAGTCATGAAGTCACTATTCACTAACTCAAACTAATTTAACATACAAAATGCAAGATGAGCACAAGGCAGTGAGCCAGTGAGTTTGTAAAACTAATTTAACTTACTATTCATAGTTCATAACGGCAGTCGGCAGTTCACGAAATTGTGAAAAGAAAGAAAAACTAATTTAACTAATTTAACTAATTGTAAAACTAAATTAACTTAACATATAAAAATTGTAAAAAAGAAACTTACCCTGGCCGGCCTAGTCGCCTAGATGAGCAGAACGGCAGAAGGCAGTGATAAGAACCAAAGAAGCAGTCGGCAACTCGGCAACTCCGGCAAGAATAGTAGCAGACGGCAGTCGGCAGTTCGACACACAGCACCACTCCAGCGAGTCGGCGAAGTACGCCGAAGCACGGCGAATCATTCGGCGGCGAAGTACGGCGAATCATTTGGCGGTGCTCAGGGCTGATTCGTTGAGGCGTTCGTCCGATTGAATAGCAGTGAGGATGGGACGATTTGGCTTGGCCGCTTGTCTGCTGGGTTAGCGTTAGTGCGTTACCTCTCCCATTCTTTAGATTTAGATTTTAGAACTTGGACTCTTTACACTGGCCCATAATGTTTGTATACTGGGCCGGTTTTATTTTTTCCCTGGGCCAGTTTCTAAAACAGATCAAAATTCTATATATAATATAAAAAAAATTGCCCTGGGCCATGGCCCAGCCTGGGCACCCCTCCCTCCGCCCCTGGTCGGGGCAGCGATGCCCGGATCCGTGGTGGAATGAGAGACAAATATATCTCATAAGAGGCTTTTTTCTCTCACACATATATCTCATTATAAGAGTTTTTTTCGCAAGGATCTCATTATAAGACCATTTATAAGATATAACTAAATGTCCACCTAACATTATTGATAAGATATGCGGTCAATATATGTGCTCATAATCGGATCATTCCATCTGCCTTTTCATTCACATTGGAGGCATTATTGATATCATTGATTGGTTTTGAGACATATAAGGGGTGGAGAAAATGATACTTTGTATTCATCATGTGTGAACGAAGGAGGGATATCTTGCTTATGCCCCATTCACAATCATGTGGGAATTAATGAATGAGTTAGTGATCATACAGTTTCAAGTCCCATTTCATAGTTTCATTGCCGACATTATAAATATCCTATAACCATTATTTCATACACACATGTCTACTGCCAGGCCATACACATTTCAGACTCTCATTTCGTTATAATCAAGTCTTGTCCACCATAACTGGAGTAGTGGTCGCTCAAACTTTGCGGTTCACGTTTCATGAACCTTTTTTACTTAATTGGGATCTCCTATTCAAAAAACGATCGGACGAAGGAATAGTCTATTTTAAGGAATTGATGACATGGTGATTAAAGTGGCTGAAAATATGAAAAATTACGTTTGAAATATATTTTATTATGAGTACTAGATTACGCAAATTTTATGAAAATATAAATTAAGAATTGGTCCTAGTAACATCAATCAATTCAGTCAGAAAAAAAAAAAACTTGGTCTTTACTTATTTTGATTATTACTCCCTCCGTCCCGCTAAGATTGTTTCATTTTACATTTTCAAGAAATTCCACATAGATTGCCTTATACCAAATTTGATAAAGTTTGGATGACTCTCCATCATTTTTTATTTTATTCTTATTTCATCAATTCATTAATACCAACAATTTAAACAAACTTTTCCTAATAAATGTTTCATCCTTCATGGAACGGAGATAATACATTATTTAAAGGTTAACGTTTTGTAAAAATAAATTGACATTTAAAGCTAATATATTGAAAATACAAAGGATCTCTTTTTTGATACATCCAAAAGATATTTAATGAGGGCACATTGCAAGCAGTACTGAAGTATGATACATCGGAAAAGAATTTAATGAGGGCACATTACCAACATTAAGGTATTGTGACACAAGGTGAGTCATGTGACATAATGCTCTGGATAAGATCACTGCAACTATACGGTCATAATTAAGGCCGGTCGACCCACATGTAATGGGCTCATTAATCTAAAGGCAATTAAATTTGAGACCACTGACTCCTAGCTAATCTTACACATCTTAAATAGATGTGAGGTCAAAAAAACAATGACACAATAACACATTTAGGGTAAAACCCCTTCAACCTCACATTCACGCATATAAATGTGTGTTTGGTAAATGATACATAATTCATTTTATGACTTTTTTTTTATTTTGACTTTGGACCGTTTCAAAAGCTTTTTAAGTGTTTGGTAACAACTTTTTTTTTACTTTGTTATAAAAATGTAAAAAAAAATGTCTACTTTTTTTACAACGGCTTTTTGATATTATCTCCATTCTCTTTTAATTGCAACGTAAAGCTTTTTTCACTATTCACAAATTCTACTTTGATCGCATTTTATTCATTAATGTGTTTCAATTAAATTTTTAAAAAATATCTTTAAATTCCTCTTATAATAAATTTTCAAAATATGATTTTTTAAATTCTTTTTCTAATAAGGAATCAAAAATATTGATGGTCAAACTTGTGCGTTGACAAGCGTGAAAATTGAACTGTTGCAATTGAAAAAGGACAAAAGTATTACATCTTCAAGCCCTAATACACCATCTAATTGTTGCGCATTCATCATTTATTAAATAATTATTCATAAAATGAATAAAATAAAAAAATCATTATAGTATCATAACAATGATAATAACGAAATAGCAATGTATATATAAAGCTCTTATATATACTTTTTTATTTGTATCCTCAGTATTGATGTTTACATCTCAATTCTCAACAACTAATAGTGAATGATTAAATTAGTGAACGTTTTACTTCAATCCTCAAGTGATAGCATATTAGCATCTAGTAAAAACAGTTAATAGATTCCGTTTATGTCCGCTGCATGATAGAATCGGCCATAAGCTAATAACAATCACTAATTGCCAAACACTCTGATCATATGGAGAAGTTGCGGGCGATAATGATGATTATTGTTAATGATGTTATCATGTTAGTATTGTTATTAGCGTTGTTGCTGTAACTACTACTGTTATTAGTTATTATTAGAGGCTGTATAATACTTCGTATTTGAGTACGAAATGTACTACTACGTAGTTAGTAAAAATATGACCAAAGTTATTATGGATGGCATCTTGGTCATTCAAATGTAAAAATTTGATATAAATATAGTTAATAAAAGTTACTCGTACTACTATAGGCACAAAAGTCACACTTTTATCAATCCTATTTATTTGGGAAAATGGAAACTAATAATCCAACCTTTTAGCGGTCTTCTTTCAATAATCCCACCTTTTGATTATTCATGAATAATCCAACTTTTGCACCTCATCTTCATTCACTGGTCCCTGATCGGTTAATGACCTACTATTCCAAGTTATTTTATTATCTTTGCAATTCATTATACCATAAATCTCATCTTTCACAAAGATAATATTTTGCAAAGATAAGAAAATAACTTGGAATAGTAGGTCATTAACCGACCAGGGACTAGTGAATGAAGATGAGGTGCAAAGGTTGGATTATTCATGAATAATCAAAAGGTGAGATTATTGAAAGAAGACCGCTAAAAGGTTGGATTATTAGTTTCCAATTTCCCTATTTATTTTTTAGATATAAATGTAATTGTATTCAACGGCGGATGCAGAAATTTCCGGTAGGAGGGCGGCAGTACAAAAATATACATACAAATACATATACATTAAAAATTTCGGGATAAATATACCTACATTTTTTTGGAGGGGCAGCAGCCCCCTTTGTCACCCCCTTTGTCCGCCACTGATTGTATTATTATTTCTTACGTAGTGTTATAATGCGATATGGTCACTTTGATTGTGTTTAATGAGTTGAAATGTTTTACTTGGACTAATTTTATTCCAATTCTAAGCATGATCAAACTAGAACAAACCATATTTTATAGAGACTAGACCGGACTAAAATAGACTTGAACATATCACTCTAGACTTTAACAGTTTTAAAAGACATATACACCAGATATTTATCAGACCTAACGATATCAGATTAGACTAAGACAGATAAGATCACAAAACTTCGACTCTCTTTTTTTTTTTACAAAATTTTGATTCAATTAAAAACTTCCTTAATGTAATTGGATCACATGATGTAAGCAGGGGCAGAGCGATGACATTTAACCGGACTGGGCCGACACAAAGAATATTTTCAAGAAAAAAGATACACGAATTTTTTGAGTTTTTTTCGAGAATATTATCAATTAAAAAAATATATACCAAACTGATGTCGGGTTAAAAGTATTTACCAAATTGCTATTGGACAAACTCTGGTTCGCCAAATGAGTTGGCCACTTACGTAAACACGGGAACGATGCGAACGATGCTGCGCAAAAAGGAAGAGGATTGGAGCACCATAGTGGGACCCATCAATAAATAAAATCTCGTTTTTTGAAAAAATGCTATAATTTTTTTATTTGTTCGCTGATTATTACAAAAAATATATCAAAATTCATCATTTTTTATTACCTTTCATATGACACCAATATTCCATATGTAAAAATGAAAAAAAAAATTAACATTTTTTTAAAATTGTTTTTAAATTTTTGTAACTTTTAGATTTGTACTCCGATCATTACGAAAGTTTATCAAAATTATTTAAATTTTTATTATCTTTCATATGAAATCAATAATGCTTATGTATAAATTAAACATATTTTTGGAAAAAGGGGTCAAATAAGGGCTTACAATATTGCGGAATCGTTACATTAAGTCATGTACTGAATAAAATGTCATATAAATGCGTCTACTTATAAAAAACAATCGGATGAGTCAAAACGACCTGTTGACAACCCCCTTAATCCTGATTTTAGCTTGTGTCGTTATTTTTGTCTTGTATTTAAGTTAATGCTGCTCAAATATTCACGTTAACCTTATAATCTATTTTAAAAAGATAGTCAGGTATACGCGAAAATCAGGATTATGAGGTCGTCAACATGTTGTTAGGAGTCATCTGATTGCTTTTATAAATAGACATATGTATAAAAGAAAACGAGGCTCGCCTCTAATATACACCGGTCTGGGTACCTTATCCGCCCTGTTTCAAACGGGCCGGTTCGATCTGAGTGCTCGTTTTTTTTTGTAAAAGTAAAATGCGTCTATGCTAGCAAAGTACGGAGTATCTAGTAAGTTACAAAATTCTCAAACTAATTAAGTATCAATGTCACCATAATATAATACGTAGTAAAAATTTAAAATAAATATTTAAAACAAAATTTTAAGTTAGTTAACAAAATATTTAACCACAAATCTATAATTGAAATACCACATCATAAATAACACCATATTTTTAAGTGTCGAGATTTAGACATCATCATCATACATAAACTAGAAAGACATAGAACTACAACGTCGTAAGAAATGAAACTAGTTACTATACATATTTTTCTACGAAAACAATTTAAATCTCTTTCAATCTCAAAATGTAAGTATAATTAAGGTAATTAAATGAATACGTTTGTAAGTCACACTTCAATGAGTAAGAGTCTCTGTTTACAAAAAAAAATATTAAAAAAAAAAACTTGATGCGTTTGTAATAGAGAATTAAGGAAGACTTATATGGATTAGACTTTGATTCTTGACTTTATAAAACTTTTAATGTAATTTTTGAATATGTAACTTCTTTCCAAAAAAAATTGAGCGCGGACATAGATCCGTTTGCTTTATTTTCTGTCAAACATTGTAAACCGTAATGGTATCATCAAATTAGGACGGAGGAAGTATATTTAAATAAAATTAAAAAAAGCCATATGGTATCCAATTAAAAATTGAATCTCTCAAAATAGG